AGTCTTGTTCACTGACTTGCACAATGATGAAAGATCCTCGAGAGATGCTCTGTAACAATGGATCCTGGTGGAGCACAACGAGTCATTGCGGGTCACTCGGGATTCATTGACACTCACCGGAAAACTCGACCTCTTATTTCTTCTACCGGCGTAATGTTTGAGCTGCGTGATGGCGGAGAGGCTGTGGGTGGACATAGGTAGTAGATGATGATCGTGATGGAGGGGCAGGCAATTCGATTGAACTGCTGAATATAACACAAACCAGAAGAAGTACCGGCTCCTATTTCCACACATAGATGACTGGAGGTTGGAGTTCGGGCGCATCAAGATGGGTTCCAGGAGCGTTGACGATGCGATCTACGAATTGTACGTACTGGACCGACTTCTTTACATGACACCTCCTAGAACACATCCTCCCCAATTACCATAGCCTCTTCTTCATCGCCCCCTTCCCACCCTGCACCCTCTCAGGTGGGAATCCAGGCAGAGAAACAATCCCCTCCGTCCCCTCCGGCACGTCCCATCGCACCGTCAAACTCCCACCCGCCACCTTAAATCCGGCGGAGAACTTGCCAAGGCTCGTGGTGAACCCAGCCTCCGCCTCCGAGAGCTCCGAGAATGTCGCCGGCTTGAACTCCCACGTCCTGCCGAGCGGCCTGGTGATGGTCAGCCCGACCAAGTACTCGGTCAGCGTCGACGTCGGCCCGCTGCTCCAGCCGTGCGCGTGCGAAACATAGGACGGGTCGTTGCGGTACCCGCGGTCGCCCCGGTATCCCCAGGTCCCGTCCAGGAGGTAGCCCTCGGGCGTGGTGGACGCCGTGCCATTGGGGTGGTCGAGGTACCAGCCCCAGATGGAGCGCATGAGCGCCAGGGAGCGGTCGGGGCGCCCGGCCTTGAAGTGGCCTTCCAGCTCGATGCTCGAGATGAAGGGGGATATGTTGTTCGGCAGCTCAGGGCATGATGGCCCGATCGGCGTCAGGTTGTTAGCCAGGTAGTCTGAAACGCGGTCCGCCTTGTTGTCGTTGTTGTTGTCGCCTGGCGAGACGACGCCAAAGGCGAGTGCCATGCTGTTGGCGTCTTGGGGGTACATTGTTCTGTTGTTGGGCTCGTCCATGAAGGCGCCTTTGGAGTTGTCCCAGAAGACTTTAAGGATGTTCTCCCGGAGTGTTTTTGAGCGCTCAAGACAAGATTTGGCTGTAAAAGTTTCGCCCTCGAGGCCAGGATACCAGGTCAGTATCGATGAGCAGGTCGTCAACGCGCGGTAAAGGCTGGTAAATGTCAGCTCATCTCAGCAGGAGAACTTGCGTACCACTGCCGAACTCACAGCATGCTTGCTGAAGCACGTTGGACAGAGTAGGTCCATCGTCCCCAGTCCGCCGTCCCCGTGATATTGACAATTCCATCCTCTGTCAATGTGCCCAGCGTGTGGGAAAGGGCACGAGTGTATTTCTCCCAGTTGTCTTCGAGGAAGGAGTCGTCACCAGTGTACAAATAATAGTTATATGTTCCGATAAGTACCCAGAGATGGTATGCTAGAGGTCGTCAGTTGCGCACCAGCATTAAGCACGTTCAACGTAGACGCACTTGTACTATCTGTCGATTTATGAGGAGGCCCAGCTTTGGGAAGTTGCCCGTCGCTTTTCTAAGGCAGAGATTATGGTAAGATACTAGCACATTCCATTAGAATCTGCTGGGAAACTCACTTGGTACGCATAGATGGCTAGCAGAGCATTCTTGACACTGTCGAGCTCCCCTGTGCTCACAAACTGGCTTGGGACAGCCGTTCCCATATCACCAATCCAGACCCAGCGGTCACGCTTCGCGCCATCCAGGAGGACTGTATCTCCGGGTCCTATATACTCGTCGTTCTGCCATCCACCCGTCAGGTTCGTTTGATGGCGGCCGGTGTTTCCAGGAACGCAATTAGACTGCAGAGTGTACGCGCCGCTGTACCAAATCCGATTCAACAAGTCGTCGTTTGAATAAAAGTAGCCATGATACGCTCGCAAATTGGGCCAGGTGGGTTGAAATACGAGCTCCAGGCTGATGTCGTGTATATTCAAGCTTGCCGTTGTATTTGAATCAAGGAACAGGGAGAGGTAGCGAAACCCGCCACGGAGCTTTGCATCGGGTAGGACATAAGTTCCTGGACCTTCCTCGGTGATGGCATAGCTGAGCGAGCCGTCAGCGCCCGGGCCGCCATTTGAATTGTCGGACTTTCGTCCAATATAATTCTTGGCTTCAGTAAAGGCGATCCCAAGGGAAGCTGCCGTAGTGCCTGCCAGTGTGTAATTAATAGTGATGATACCGCCGACTTCCAGGCCAAAATCAAATACGAGGGCCTCTAAGTCATTAGACAATGTGGCAGTAGCAGTCTTTTCAAAGTCTGTCACGTTGGAGACATCATTGAGCGAAAAGAATGCTTTGGGGCGGACAGTCCTCGAGGACGGAGCGTAGTTGTAGTCGTCCCATGGGCCAGGAAACACAGCTTCCTCCAGGCCTGTACACTTTATATCCCTCCAGCATGATGATCCGACTACAACCCCAATAAACGACGAAAGAAACAGATACCGTACCATGATTGAGCTGATTGGGGATGATGCTAAACAGAATGCGTACGACCGAGTACTGTCAGGAGGCGATCTTATACCGAAGATCAGACATCGCAATGAAAGCATCCGTTCGCTGAAGAACAAGCCGAAGCAATCCCCACCCTTTTACCATAATTATCTATGTTCTACGTCGTCAACCTTTTTTGCCGAACGCCATACCTGGGGCGGGCAAAAACCCGGGGGACATTCTACCGAGGGGCATGACAACGGTCGCAGTTGGTAGAAGGGTGGAATTTACCCGTTCGCCTGAATCAATTTGGTGCGACCGGGGCGACATATGATCTTCGACAACTCTCTCCTCATCTGCCACAAGCGCTTTGAATTTTGCGGGGAAGCTGGATGCTATTTGCCGGACCAAATTTCGGGTTTGGGGATCAACTATCTCTTGCGCTCCGTCTCGCAGGTGTTGCGTTGGGTTGAGAGATGCATGTTCTATATAAAATCAACATCAAAGATGAAGTCTTCACCCCCTTCCACCAATAATTGTAGGCTACCAAAGCGCTTGATGGTATACGGGTGCACTCATCCTGGGCCAAAAGAGACTCAATTACCTTAGTTCTCGACGTTTATGCAAGCTCTCGTCGTAGCTTGCCGAGGCATGGGAGACAGATGATTCATTCGTCCCAGGTCTTCATTCAGTAATATACAATGTACAAGCCAATGCGCCTCTATTCATATAATGTACAACCCCTTTAAATCGTTCCAGGTCATCATACAAAGTGACTATGTCGCATATGAGATCCAAAGCTGCTATATGGACAAGCCAAATATACTCATCAAGGCCACTTAAGTGGAAGCGGCGTTGCCAGATGTTAGCAGAACAATAGAGGATTTCAGGCCTGCCCGAATGTCCTCTCACCACTCGCATCATTGAGCTTGGTCGTGCGGCATAAACCCTTGGAGTCTCCATAACAGGAGATGCAGGTTGACCATGCTATGTGACTTCCAAGTCTTCAGCACAAAAAGCTCACCGCTCCCAAAGATATCTGGAGCATCGGCACGCAGTCGCGCGACCTCTTCATCCCCGAGCAGCCATCTCAAGTCGTGAACCGGCATCTTCCGGTCATAGGCCACATTCTTCAAATCGTAAGTTGCATATCTCGTCTTTGCCAATCCCTCTTTTTCCTGTTCCTGTGATAGCTGTGTTGGCAGCCAAAGTATGCAGCCCCGTCGTCGAACAGCTCCAATCTCGTCCCAGCTCTTGACGGGTTGTACGAACTTATCCAACGGTGGCTGGGCTCGGTTCGATCGTGCAATGAGCGCATCCACTGCCGCCCGACGCAGCATCCCCAGGAGGAGGTCACCGGTATTGGGAGCAAATTCAGCGTCTCTAAACGACCCCAACGTCGCGCTTCCTGAGCGCGTCCCTAATAACTTGCGCTGCCACATCGGTTTTTTTCCTCCCACCAGATCGAAAAAGGTTTTATCTGAGGCTATATAGGCCGTTATGGGGGCTCGTCCTGTACGCTCCGCTTCGGCGGGGTTGTCCTCATATTTGCTCGTTTCTGGATCGTTCGCGGTCGCAATTTTGCCATCCGTACTCGTTGGTCCTTTCGCTCCATCGATTTCATTTTCTGTAGGGTCGGTCGTCTCCCAGTACTTCGGCTGGACTCTGTGGAAAGATAGCGGACCTGGGACAAGGTGAGGTTTGTCCGTTTCGGGATGACGAACAACCTCCATGTCTTGTAGGAAGTATCGGGGTAAGGTACGGGAGGTGAGAGAGCAAAGACGAACAGGGGACGCCAATGCCCTTGCTAGATCCTAATTAGCATGCGTTTCCTGCTGAAGCTGCGTGAACCAACTCACCAAACGGGTTGAGGGCTAGCTTCTTCCGAAATCTACCCATAGGCTGAGAAGGCTCTGTCTTCCTCGGTCGCCGCCTAGAGCCAATCCATTTTGGGTCGAATAATGGCGAGATTGGCAAGGGCCCTGCAGCCGTAGATACTGTCTTTGCGTCGGGATCGACTCGCATCGGGTTTCCCAGCGCATCGTCGCCGAGACCGCTCTCCACCTGCTGCTGGAGAGCCTCGGGGGTCAACTCGTCTCTGTCGTATGAGCGGAAGCGGCGCGATGCCGGCCACCAACCTGGCCGCAGCGCCACCGCGGATCGCCTTGATCCCTTCAACATTGTTTAAAATATTGGGCTTCGCTCGGCTCCGGGATCAACAGCCACTCCTCGTAAGACAAAGCTTCTGGAAATTTGAGCGGCAGATCCTCGGACAAGGCGAGAGCAACTCCAAGACGAGCTTATCGAGGGGCTATCTCTAATCGATATACCTGAATAGGCTTAGAGTGATTTGGCCAAGCTCTCCCATCACCAACGTCACTTCAGCTTTGCGCCAGGGCCACCAAGCCTCCGATCGCCTCCGCTTCCACCAGCACGACAAGATGCATCCACGCGCGAGGCTGCTTTCTTCGTACATGCGGAGGCTGCCGCTACTCAATCAACATGTTCGAAGCTTCGGCAGCGCGCCATCCGGCGGACGTCCATCAATGGACTTGTATATTCCCACACCCTACATCGAGGAGACCTCGGTGAGTCGTCGCAATCCAGGCGTTGATGGTAACACCAGACAAAACTGATAGCAACAGTCCGCAGGCAGGAAAACTTGTGCGCTTCCTTCTCCGCCCTTCTCGTCGACAATTGACTGATTTGTAGGAAGGGGATATCTTTTCCAAGCTCCTGCAGGTACGAATACTCCTCTGTCGCTGCTCCAGGCGTACCAAAGCATCAAGGCTAACCCCACCTTCAGGAACGAATTATCTGTTTAAATGGCGAGATAAACGACTACATGTCCGCATCTATTGTTGCTCAGCTGCTATGGCTTGAGTCCGACACCCCCGACAAGCCGATTACAATGTACATCAACTCTCCAGGCGGCTCCGTCACCTCGGGTGAGCATTAACCTCCGCCGAACCTCGAGACGAAAGCTCACATAGAATACCAGGAATGGCCATATATGATACCATGACTTATATCAAATCCCCTGTCTCGACCATCTGTGTCGGCGGCGCAGCATCCATGGCCGCGATTCTCCTCGCTGGCGGCGAAGCCGGCAAGCGGTTCGCCCTACCACACAGCTCTATTATGATTCACCAGCCTCTCGGCGGAACACACGGCCAGGCCTCGGATATTCTCATCTACGCAAACCAGATTCAACGTATACGCGAGCAGTCGAACAAGATCATGCGATACCATCTCAACACAGCAAAGGGCCACGACCGATATAGTATAGAGGAGATCAACGATATGATGGAACGCGACAAGTATCTGAGTGTAGAGGAGGCACTTGAGCTAGGTGTCATTGATGAGATATTCACGAAGCGAAGCGACAAGGACGAAAAAGAGGGCAAGGAGGGGGAAGATGCTGTCAAGACGCCTTGAATGAGCAACACTACGCCGACTGTGGAGCTCCCAGCACCCAAAACAGCTTCAGTCTCCCTCAAGAGGTGCTGAATCCTTCCTCAAGAACTCTCGCAGGAGAACCACCGTCGATTCAAACACATTGCCAAGTAGTGTCGGCAGATAGTGGGCGGTTGACTCAGAGCAAATATAGCGCTGGTCAAAGCGAGCTTGGCCCGGTCACTCGCGAGAAAGAAACCGATAATATCTCAATTTCATGCCCAAAATCGAGATAAACTCACCGACATGACTTTCAACAGGCTTGATCGTGATATATCGGCAATTAAGCTTTATTCTACCTCATACAGCCTACATCGGGTGTTATCGAAATATAGCCAGACTTCAAACCCTTCCCAAAACAAAATAATGTACTATTAATCTATCATATTTTGGAACGTTCTTGCCGTTTGTCTCCAAATGAATTGTTGCGATCAGTCTTCTGACATCTACATCTGATAAATGAACCTGAGTGAACATCTACCCTATACCTGACTAAGTCCCTTGATTTGCCTCTACCCAGGCAGTCTTCGATGAGGATGTACAATGCATAATATCGTCTGATTGAGTAGTAGTTGTTACAAGTCATGCAATATAAATTACCAGAGGTGCTGTTTCTGAATGTCGTGCTAGTTCTGTCCGAATTGTTGGGAATCGCTGAATCGACTACACATGAAAAGAGCTTGCACTAATGCGTTTTCATCAAACCGAGTCACTTCTAGAAACAAAAAAAAACGAACAGAACTTTGTTTAACTCCTTTCGTTTTACAATAAAGTGGCAACTACCAGATGGCCTTGATGGTTCCAAGGTGGCTTCGAGTGCGCACGAGAGCAGCCCCGATAGAAGCATGTTGCTGTTACTTGCACAACGCTCGCTCACACGACCATCCCACCTAAGAATTCTCCACAACTGCCTCACTTTTCAAACACACAACCAGCCTGACTCAACTTTGTAGTCAATACACACTTTTCCATTCGCGAAAATGGCTGCCAGAATCCCGGCCGACGATACCCAGGCCCTCAACGGTTAGTCGCACCTCTCCTAGACAAGAACCAGCCCCGCCTAACAACAGTCGGCAGCCAAGGAAGCAGCCAAAGCCACCAACGGGGGCGCCGGCAATCGCGCGCCGAAGAAGGGCGATGCTGCCGCCGAATGCTCTGGCGAATCCGACGACGACGCCGACGACCATGTAACCAACGCCCCCGGCGCTGCGGGTGACGGCGAGGCCAGCAAGAAGAAGAAGAGAAAGAATAGGCCTCGCAAGAAGAAGAACAAGGCCCCGACCGCCCAGACCGATCCGCCGTCCGTCCTCATGTCCCAGCTCTTCCCCAATAAGAGCTACCCCAAGGGCGAAGAGGTTGAGTACAAGGACGACAACCTATACCGCACCACGAACGAAGAGAAACGCTATCTCGACAACCTCAACAGCGACTACCTCGCCGACTTCCGCCAGGCAGCTGAAACGCATCGCCAGGTCCGTCAGTGGGCGCAGAAGAATATAAAGCCGGGGCAGACGCTCACCGAAATCGCCAACGGCGTCGAGGACAGTGTCCGCCGCCTCGTCGGCCACGATGGGCTGACCGAGGGCGACGCCCATGTCGCGGGCATGGGTTTCCCGCTCGGTTTGAATCTCGATGAAATAGCGGCGCACTTTAGCCCGAACGCGGGCGACAAGACTGTTCTGCAGCAGAGCAATGTCATGAAGGTGGACATCGGCGTCCATGTTAATGGGCGCATTGTCGACAGCGCCTTCACCATGTCGTTTGACCCCAAATACGACAACCTCCTCAACGCCGTCAAGGATGCCTCGAATACAGGCATCCGCGAGGCAGGGATCGATGTCCGCCTTGGAGAACTCGGCGGCTACATCCAAGAAGCCATGGAAAGCTACGAGCTGGAGCTTGACGGCAAGGTTTATCCCATCAAGCCGATCCGTAACATCACCGGCCACAATATCCTGCACTATAGCATCCATGGCTCCAAGGCAGTGCCTTCAATCTTGACTGATGATGACACCAAGATGGAGGAAGGCGACGTGTTTGCCATCGAGCCGTTTGGCAGCACTGGCAACGGCCGCGTCTACGATCAGGGCGAAGTCTCCCACTACGCCCTTTCTGGTGACGCGCCCACCAACGTGCAGCTGCGCCTGTCTTCGGCCAAGTCTGTCTTGAACGCTATCAAGAAGAATTTTGGCACCCTTCCCTTTTGCCGACGTTATTTGGACAGGATCGGGCAGGAGAAATACCTCCTCGGTGTAGGGCAACCAACCACATTCTCTTCTGATGCGCACTCTTGCTAACATGTCGGCAGCTCAACCACCTCGTCAAGTCTGGGATTGTCGAAGACTATCCACCTTTGGTGGACAAGAAAGGCTCCTACACGGCCCAATTTGAGCACGTAAGTGATTTCCCACCTAAGATGGATTGATTCTGCGCACAGCTCGACTGACAAGACCCGCCAGACTGTTTTGCTCAGACCTACCGTAAAGGAGGTCGTGAGTCGTGGAGATGACTACTGAGCTGATTGGGTTACTCCGAAATGAGTAGCCCAACAGGGTTTACTCAGGGACTTCGCCGACTACTTCATGAATGGAGTGAGTCCGCGCTTTTGATATATGATAGGTTTAGTGTTTTGAATTCAAGACTTCTATTTCATCTCGACTGGTTTTGGTGCTACTGTAAAATGCGTGATGATTTATTGTGCCAATTCGTTTCTTTGGTATTTATATTGCCCATTTGCCTGGCATCGGAACGGACTATGGTCCCAGGTAGGCATGGTGTGTATGATTGAATATCAACGGTGTCTACGGGTAAGGTGTTTGTTTGACTTGTAAGCATCCAACCAATGCTCGGTTAGTCGAAACGTTTGCTTCGCTAACTGATTCGTTCCATCCAATAGGTTTGCTACAACAGCAAACGTAAACAACAAACCAATGGGTTTCATCCTTTTTCCATTAGCTTCTCTAGGCTTCATTGGAAGCAATTCTGCATCTATAAGAGGTGCCTATGATCCTCCTTAGCTTGGCTAGTTAGTCTGCCATCGTGACTACACACTTCACTTGCTTATGAGCCTGGGCGCTACCCACTGTGCTCGGATCGCTCACGTTTAACATACGGAACGGGGTTAGATGACCCAAGAAACATAAACGGTTTGTGCCCAGGAACCCCGCCTTTTCGACCTCATATCATAACCATCCTTAGCATCGGTCATCGTTCGCCATGGAACAATTAGAGCAGATCTTCCAATCTCACCGGTTCGGAATCGATCAACAACATGTCGATCTATACCACGTGTACGACAATCTCTCTCGCACGCCTTATGAACGTGGCATTGGCATTCAATGCGAAGATCCTGACGAGTATCTCATGAATGCATGGCATGTCATAACACCATCCGCAATGAGAAAACATCTAGACTGGCGAAATCGAAAGCACACGCAGTTCATCTCCTTTTACAGCAACTTGGACACTGCGAAACGCGAGCAAGCAAGGCGACGCAACCAAACATATGTCAAAAATGTTGGTCGGCGAGATCCTGGATCAGTCAAGATAGCGCATGTGCGGCTTCCACGAGATACAAACGTCTGGGCTTTCTCGCGCGCAGAAATGCTTAGCATGATGGGAACCTTTGGAGGTCAGACGAGATTGGAAATGTCTGCAGTTTCTGCGCCTAGCGAGTGGTTTGTGTGGGGAGTTGTGCCTGACGAGTGTGTACGGAATAGGAATTTACTTTAAGAGCGAGTTGGAAAGAAGTAGAGCCAAAAGCAAAGTTCTGTTTTGTTCAGCCCATTGATGTAGACTCACAACCTGTTGTTTTAGGATTTGCTTTTATCGGCCTTTTTAGTAAGGATTTCATCCTCGCTCTTGTTTTAATGTTGTTGAGGAGAGGGAGGGGGGTAACACCTGGTAGAATATGGCGTATTTTTGGCGGTGCTTAGAACAACTGCCTCTCGGGTGGTGCGGATCCTTTGATGAGCTAAATGCAGAGGTTCTAGATGTAATTACATTGTAATACCATAGCAGACGCAATACTACATCGGTTGTTGCTAGCAGAGAATACGATACCTCATGACGGTCTATCAAGGCTGGTGCATCCATCTAGAAAGTACAGAGGAAACTCTGCAATCACATCTGCAGGCTCTCGACTAGATCCTTCCTTCAAAATAATCAAGTATTACCGACTTACTTCTCGAAGATCTTTGTTGAACCTTATGTAGGGCCGGGCACAAGCCTCGTAGCCGGGCAGAAAGGCTGAAGTTTAATGGGTTGTGATGCCGGGTATGGTGTCAAGTTGTTAAATTCCTCGTGTTTGGGAATTTCTCCTTCTTTTTTTTTACAGCAGCTGCCGCATAACTGCATAGCTCTCTCATATGGGACAACCAGTGAAAGGAGTTTGCCTTGGCATACCTCATTGTACAGAGGAAGCGGAGGGGAAGTTACTTATTACTACTACTAGTACTATGGATTAGCTCTTGCTTCTTCGTTCGTTCTACGTCCGTGGGTCACGCAGTCTGGCTTTCATTAGAAGAATTATGGAAAAATCAAGGTTGCAGGAGTCAACATTGTTAGATTTGGTTGACCGTAAACAAGTATATATTTCAAGATCAGGCAACATGTAATTTAATTATTTTTTTAAGAACACAATAGGCAGTGCATACCCAAACCTTCTACACCACATGATAAAGTTAAAATACAACACACTCAACCCGGGAACAGGCATCGATATCACAAAAACTCTAACAACAAAAGTCATTTACGTAGCCAGAGGTATATAAATGGCCATGGCCCTAAGAGGGAAGCTCGTCATCCAGCAGCAACAACCACCTTTCCTTTCCAATTTGAAGCATTAATCACACCACTAGCCACAGCCGCTCCAAGCATCTACAAGATGTCATCCCATACAGCCACCCCTCCTCGTAAGGGTTCAGTCATAGCGAATGATGAGGTTCTTGAGATTCGCGGTGACTGAACCCTTGCGAGTAGGGATGGCTGTATGGGATAATATCTTGTAGATGCTTGAAGCGGCTGTGGCTGGTGGTTCACGATTAATCGTTAATGATCGGCAGAATGCAGAATGCCGCGCTCTCTTCATGGGGAATCGCTTATGGCATGTCACGAGGCGTAAATAGGTGCACCCTCTAGAGTCTAGGTAGTCCCAAACCCTAAACCTCTCTTGGATTCTTCATTCGCTTCCCCGGCCCCTAGCAGTGTGGAGGGGGTTTAGTCCTCGTCAAGCCCCCCTCCCCCAGAATGTTTGGCTGTCACATCACTAATACCTCGACCCTAGAGGTTAAGTGAAAGATAATCGTGTTATATTTGGCCATGAAAAGCCTCTCAAGTCAGACTGGGTCCTGGTCGAGTTTGTGCACTCCTCCATGGTTTCTCCGGATTGGCGACCACTCTCATTCTCTTTAGATGACTTACCATGCAGGGGCATCCCCTCGGAGCGAACGTGGCCGTCTCGTAATTCGTACGTATTCTTTAATACAGCGAATTGGATTGCGAAACTCTCATTGTGGCGCTGGAACTAGACTGACTCGGGGCATGGGCCTATTCAGATCAGCACCGTTGCCCCAGTCCGGGGGCACACCACCCTTTAGTTTCCAGCTCCCCCATATCACCTCAACGGCCTTCACGGAGGTGGGCCATGAGACTTAGGTCACCTTCAGAGCATGGGGATGGGCACCCACTAGCTGCCCCGAAGCGCTACCTTCGCAGTAGTAGAAAACCATTCCACTTCTGGCGAGGGATACCAGTATTAGTCTTTCTAAACTAGGATGGAATTAACTAAGGATGGGAGGGGGGAGGTTCTACCATGGTTAAAAGGGCGGGGAGATCCCGAGTTCAGTGGGCTGTATGCATTGCTTCTTTCTTGGTATCTTGACTCCAAATGTGGCTGGTAACATGGCGGACTCCATGGATGTCCCCGGAGGAAGAGTTCTCAGGAGGATGACTGAGGATGTCTATTCCCCCGAGGATGTTTTGGTTCTGGTAAGTGCTTGTCTCCTTCTCCTCTCATGTCTTAATTGGTCGACTGCCAAAAACCACCCAAAAGAGAGCTGTGCTAATTGCCCCCTTTCCCTTGCCGTGTAGATCGCCACGGTCCTATCCTTGTACAACGCCATCGAACTCCTCGTCCTCATATTCCTCAAGTTTAAGCGACGCAGCGGCCTGTATTTCTGGAGCCTCTCCCTCGCCTCCTTTGGAATTATCCCCTACTGTATCGGATGGATGCTTATCCAATTCGGCTTCAGCCATGCGTGGGTAGGTATGATCATTGATTCCATTGGATGGATCTTGCTAGTCTCAGGTCACTCCGTGGTTCTGTACTCGAGGCTTCACCTGGTCCTTCAGAACAGTATCATTCTGCGGGGCGTGCTGGGCATGATTATTGTCAACGCCATCGTTTGGCACCCTACTATCACTGTCCTTCTCTTTGGTTCGGCCTACGCAACTGGTGATGCCAATGTAGCCTTCAACCATGTCTTCGGCATCCTAGAGAAGGTACAAATGACCTTCTTCTGCGTCCAGGAGTTCATCATTTCTGGCCTCTACATATGGAAGACGATCGAGATACTCAAAACAGCCTTTGGCAGCAAGAGGGTGTTCCTTTGGAAGCTGTACTCCATCAATGTGTTTATCGTGGTCATGAACATTGCTCTGCTCGCCATCGAGTATAAGAGTTTATTCCTCTGGGAGCAGGGAGTCAAGGTCATTACGTACTCGGTCAAGTTAAAGCTCGAATTTGCCGTTTTTGGCCAGCTCGTCGAATTTGTGCAGCACCGCACGGGCAACACTTTGAGCGACCTGACGGGCGCCAACACGGGCGCCTTTGTCGAGCTTTCTGGTAGCCGGACAAAGAAGGATACGAAGAGCCGATCGATGACAGGCAGGGGGGAGGCGATTCACATGGAGAATATTAAGACAAATGTGACATCGACGACGGCGACAGGCAAGAATTCCTCCGTACTGGGCACCTTGGACCACAGTCAGATTAAAGTCACCACGAGAATTGACGTAGACACCAACAGGGGTAGCCGTGTGTCTGGGGATAGCGATAGCACGCGTCATTTGTACGAGGGTGCTATCCAGGAGATTGCGAGATCCTAGGTGCCAGGGTTATCTGGTCTTCTGTATATAATGAATTCATTGTATGTACTTAATATATCAAGATTAATCTAACGTAGCTGGGCTCCAGCCTACCAGATGCGTCAATAGGAAGAATAGGGGCAAGGCATCTTGTGAGGCAGATCGTCCGCCCAACGGAAGTTTCCCGAGGCAGTGCGCCTTTTAGGCCGTCATACACTGCCACCAGACATCTATTAATGTGATGAATGAATGACCTTGCTTCATACGCAAAGATATTCTTCAAAGGCCTTGCTAGAGAGGGATCATATATTACGTCTTTTCATTCCGAGACTCTCAAAGAAACGAAGGATACAAAAAAAAACCCTGTCCTACTCCGCAGTTATGATTTCTGATGACGATGATTGTGTGTCCAAACGTCTTCGTCGGGTAATTGCAGCCTCTCATGAACGAATAACCTATTTCGATGCCATGATTTCTAAAACGCAGCGTCAACGGAGCCTGCTAGAGGAGATTTCTGTGACTGAGCGCGAGACACTGGCAAACCTCGAAGCCTGTCAGAAGACTCTCTCATTCGACGTGTACCGCTCCCAAAAGCACCAAATGGATTTTCTCAAGTCAGCTTCCAAGCGTATGGTGCATTACCCTTTTGAATCTTAAAGATGGAGCTGAACTCTCCTATTTTAGTTTTTGCCGAGGCTTCGAGCATTTGCGAGATATGTGCTACCATTACTCTGACTGGCATGCGAGGACAAGGGGAGATAGAAGGCGAAGACGAGTATGATGTTGATTCTGGATTCAAGCATTATCCCGCCTATAAGCAACTATCGAATTCTGCTTCCCAAGGATGCCGGCTCTGCATCATCATCGAACACTCCCTTTACTATGCCTTTGGTGGCAAGCTTGAGTTTTTGGAGTACTGCGCAAAGATGGACGGCCAAACACAAGTACGACTCGTGGCTTACACCACTGGGGCGTTGCGCCCGTCTTCTGTAAAAGTATTATGCGGTCCGGATCACACCCGCTATGCCTGGCTGGAACTTTCTGCCCCAAATGGTACGATAACCCTTCTTATGACCATCGCCGGTGCCAGTGGCACTTGTTTATATTGAATTAGGATCCCAGACAGCTCAGTGGATCAAAGGCCGAGTACCTGAAGGTGACCCTTTGTCACCAATATCTTTGTCACGAATTAAAGACTGGCATCGAGATTGCCTGAAAAACCATCTCGAATGCTCCATGAACCTGAACCCCTATTTACCCACTCGAGTCATCGACGTCGGCGCAGCAGACGGAACAGAAGAGCCACGTCTGCTACTGAGCGACGAGAAGAGCCGTGGACCGTATGTTGCTATGAGCTATTGCTGGGGCGGCGTAGTGCCTTTGAGAACGACGACGAACAATATTCATGACCACACAAGGGAGATTCCGCTTACCAGCCTTCCCCAGACCTTCAAAGATGCAATCGTCCTCACGCGCTCTCTTGGCTGCCGCTACCTTTGGATTGATGCCCTTTGTATCGTACAGGACGATCCTCTGGACTGGGAGCGCGAGGCAGCGGATATGGGCCGAATCTATCGCGATTCGGCCCTCACTCTATCCGCCACCTCCGCCAAGACCAGTGAAGACGGCTTCCTAGGGCCTTATAAATCTGACCTCATTCTCCGATGCAGCACCAAATACACCGAGGGCCAAGAAACCCACGAAATGGTCTTTTCGTGGCCTTTTTCACCATTAAGTAGCTTCAACTACGTCGACGCTACTGGAGATCGAGGCTGGACTCTGCAAGAGCTTGTGCTTTCCCCACGGGTGCTTCACTTTGTCCAGACACCGGCTAGGATCGGCCACCAGATGATCTGGGAATGTAACCACCACTCGGTACAAGAGGATGGGGTCCGTCTCGTGACAAACTTCCACATTGATTTATCTCGGCCGAAGAGTCTGCTTGGGCGGCATCACGCGGCCAATGCCACAATTCCCTTGTCCATGGTTATAACATACACTTGGCTTGACCTTGTTGAAGCTTACTCTTGTAGAAAACTGACCTACGAGTCGGACAAGTTGGTGGCGTTTTCTGGTCTGGCGGCCGAGATCAAGCGCCTTTCAGGATATCGATATGCAGCTGGACTATGGGAGGAGGAGCTCAGACTGCAGCTGCTCTGGGTTCCCAGGACACCAGGCAGCCGAACACAAGGGTATATTGCACCGAGCTGGTCTTGGCTCTCCTTTGACGGTGCCGTCGATTGCTCGCACATCAAAAGAAAAGAAGGAGGTTTAAAGTTTCGCTTCACCGTTAGACACTTGGACACGCATGTCAGCGTGTCTGGGCCAAGCCTATTTGGCACCGTGGAGTCGGCGACTGCAGTCTTGTCAGGCTTTATGAAGCCCGCCGTCTTCGATCCTCGACGCAAAGCTGCAGATCAGTGTTACTTGTTTTACGATAACGAGGATGCAGCCAGTCAAGATATTGATGTGGACATCCAGCGCACCATGTACCTCCTGGAAGAAATCAAACATACACACAATTCTGAAACTAACGACCCGTTTAGCCCTCGCAGGTTTCTGCATAAGCTAACTAGTGACGCAAAGGAGGTTCTGGACAGCGTTGACCTCTCTGACGTGACACCACTTCTTTGCAAGACTTTGACTGAAAGTGTAGAGGCCAAGATTTCCCTGCTTAAGAGAATGAGGTTATCATTGCAACACCTCGATAATTGGAAGGCAGCCAACCAGGAAAGACTATGTCATTTACAGGCCCGTGAGCCGAGCCTCCGCCTGGACAAAGACGACTACACGGAAGATCCACAGCTCGACCATGAATCAAGACCTCTGGCCTCTTTTCTCCAGTCTGTGCGCCGCTTCAAACGCTTCCAGATACTCTTCGATACGGCAAGTGACGCCATTCACAGGCAAGATGAGGATATCCTACAGGAACTCGACCACCAAGACGACTCCGAGTATGAATTCGATCTCAGACGCCCGGACCCTTGCTCTGACCAGCACAGGATGCTCATCGAATTTAAAAACAGCAAAGCTCACGACCATGACAACTGCCATATGCCTGTGTCAGTTTCGACGACAGAGCGGAAGGGGTTGATGAGAAGGTTAGACCCAGACGCGACGCCAGGGTTTCCAGAAGACTTTTATCCGGGAACAGCAAACATACCAGGCAAGATTCGGTTTGACACCGACAAATTGCCTAGGCATCGGCGCATCTGGCTTATGCAAGTCTTGGCGTCCTGCCCTTTCCTGGAAAGCGGGAAATGCACACCGCACGGCCTTGCTCTGCTTCCAACGGGGAACGTAGGCGAGTATGAACGTATAGGCGTGTTTCAATTGCATCCAGACCACGTTGGCTGGTTTGATGACGTATCTGCGAGAGAGTGTATATATATTGTTTGACGCGTGTGACAAGTGGGTGTTTCTAATTTCATGTTCGGTGTGCTGGAATTGATTATGATATAAGAATATAGAGGGGGCATGTTCCTTTCATTGCTGTTGAACTTTTTTCTCTTTCTCCTACGTAGGGGATGTATTGAAGGCTAGGTAAGCTATAACCGTGTATTAAAGACAAATCCTCCGTTAAAGAAGCATCCAGATAGCTAGTTTACAAGCTCTTGATATGTAGTTAAAGCAAGGCTACCTACCAGTCCTTAAGCATCACCGAATACCAGTAGGCTTTCGATCTTAACCTCCCCAAAACCTTCACGATGGAGTAACGCTCGTCCGCCGTGCACAGGAAACTCGGCAACAACACTAATGGTTGTGTCCTTGGCAGTGACACCGACGCTTTGTAATAGTTGCAGTACTGCGCAAAGTGTCTTCCCAGTGGCGAGTACATCGTCCACCACAACCACTGTTGACCCTTTGGAAATAATATTGCTGCCCATCTCCATTATCTTATTCTTTGAACTAGTTGGCCCTAGGTTTGAGATATGTGATGGAGACTTGGACACGGACATAGTGGGAGGAGGTAGCTTGTCAACCTCTCGGATGAGCCCCAAGCGCACATTGACCCTCGCAGCCAGAGCTGATGCAAACACAAAGCCACCGGCTTCACAGCAAACTATCGTCTCAACATGGGTCCAATCACCTGAAAACCGAGTTTCCAGTAGAGATGTACACAAAGCCAGCCCATCTGGCTGCTGAGAGAGGCCCAGTACGTCACGGAACTTGATGCCGGGTCGTGGAAAGTCGGAGATCGACCGTACCATCATGGCAAGCCGTTCCAGATCCTTGTGCAAGAAGGGAAAGATTTGATCGTGGGCAAATTTATTTATTGATTCTTTCCCAGTTATGTAATTGTTCATGATGAGATCGGGTCGGTAGCTTGCAACTGTTGAGTTCAATTCGCCGTTTTGAATCTCATTAGGAATCGAATTGCCGCAGTCGGCTTCACTGCTGTCTCTGGATTCACGACGAGCCTGCCGTGTATAGTCTTGAGCTTGGACACGCACCTCGAGTAGTTTGCTGTTAGGTACTAGTTGCGAAAAGGTCGCAACTGGTGCCTCGTCTCTCATGCCTGTGATAAACAGCACATCCACATCTGCAGCATTACGCACCACTCTCACAAATTGATCCTTCGGCAGTTGAGGTCTTCTTTGCACCTGATTATGGAAGAACTGTGTCAATGCTGGTCGATGCTGCTCCTTGTAAACACGGTCGGAAAGCAGACTGTTCAGATCGGCACCAGTAGCCGCTGCATATTCTTGTTTCGTCACCTCGCTGATGCTTACCGCACGTGCCTCAAGTCTCTGAGCATTGAATAGAGAAGCCCAGACGGTTGCACAGTAGTCTTTGCCGGCACAGCTTTTGCCTGTGACAAGAACAATGAGTCTCGGTCTCGTGGATATTTGAAGCGGACATGCATAAGGTAAAACGTTGTACGGGTCCAAAACAGATTTCAGTCGGGATAGACGCGGCAGATTCGATCCAAAGGCAGCTCTAGCCAGTGGCGCATCTCGAGGGTCCGGCCCAAGGTCTGCACCGTATGCCCCGTTACTTAGAGGCAACAAGTCCATAGCAATTTTGTAAACCCATTGCATGGCCTCTTGAGCTGTAGTAGTTCCGTCCTGATTGCGAGGCCAGACACCAGTGATCACGCAAGCAAAGTCCCAGTCGCGACAGCCGAAAGCGGCAGCATCGCCCATCAGGTCACCGATCGCCCCGCCACCTTGGAGTAGATGAAGGTAACAAAGTCTAGAGGGCCGAGTTTTTAGAGCCGAGGCCAGGATATTGCGGACATCTTGAGTCCTAATATGCTTTAAGAATATGCATCGCTTGAATGAGGAGGTCTTGCCACCGCCGTGCCCGCCGTGCATTAAGGATATATACATCTCGGTGTTAAACAGACCAACGCCGTCGACAACTTGGTGATGATACTCGCTTCCAAGAAGTGCATACGCATTCTCAGAGCTTTCCAAAGGGTGCTTGGTCGTTGCAGACTCGAATACTGTCACCCCAAGACAAAGCCGGTCATCATCCCAAAACAGATACCCATCTATGGAACAGTTTCGGGCGAGCTTTGCGGCTATTTGGTCTAGATGACCAAGCCTATCATCATCAAGTGAGAAAATCCAATTCCGGACTGAATAGCTTAGAGCAGCAGAGGCCGTGAAAGTGACGCTGACCACAATGCCAAAATTTGTTCCGGCGCCTTTGATTGCCCATAACAAATCCTCTTCATTGTCAGGGTGTAGAGAACCGACTGGGCGATATTGGGCTGGTACATGGCCAATATGAATAATTCTTCCATCGTCAACGGTGACCAAGACAGCACCTACAATTGCGTCGCACGCCAGACCATGTGATCTAGCCATGTGGCCGAAGCCACCTTGTAGCCAGAGTCCTGCACCTACACTCGGCCGGGAGCCCAGTGGTACAGTCAAACCTGATGATGCGGCCTTGCGGATTATATCACCAGTGTTGCAGCCGGCTCCCGCGAGGACCCATGGACCGCGATCAGAGTCCGGGTCCCCTATCTCATCGTCAGAAGAGACAACGTGTACTTGATTAAAGGCAGCCATATCAATTGACACAACATTTGGCCATAGGCATTGGCCGCTATGGCCTCCACCGATCACGGTTAAGCCGACCTTGCCGGCCAAAGCCCATTGGATGCAAGCTTGGATTTGCTGAACATCCCTTGGCACAACGACAGGGACGGGATGCCGAGACTGAGCCTCTCGGTTCTTAACTATCCTCTGCCCATCACTCAGTGGTACAAGTTCCGTCAGGGCTGGCAGCATAATTGCATCTAGGGTAAAGGTCACCATGACGTTGGGCGAGCTGAACAGGAGATACTCTGGATGGCCTTGGTCGCGACAAGCCAGCGCACAGCACACCTCGCGCCACTTGAGTCGCAAGACTTCATCCACATTGACGTCCTGCATGACAAAACCCGCGATGAGAGGTGTGAAACAGTCCAGTATCTCGGGGACATTTTGGATGCGGCTAACTCCGGCAGGGAATGAGACCGTCTTGTGACACACTAAGCCGTCAAGCTGTAGGACTCCATCTCGATGAAATACCACAATCATTCCACTCTCTGGTCGTTGAACAAGCATGTCTCTAGCCTGTTTTAGAACCTCGTCCTTGGACTTCATACCGTACATGCTGTGGCAGAAAAGAATGATGTCGAATTTCTCATCGAAATGGCTAGCACCATCACCGCTGTCTTTATTTGCCTCATCTAGAGTGAATGAGATTTCTCGAACGTCGGGTGGGCTTTCTAAACAAGGAAAAGGGCGCGAGGTCAACCACTGTTTCAGTGATTGGAAGAACAGTGTGTTGGACTCCAATGCAACATATTTTCTGATCTTCTGTCTAACATGTTCAGATAGATCTCCAAGTATGCTTTTCGGACCTGGTCCGATTTCAAGCACTGAGATAGTGCTGCGAGATCGGAGAAAGGTAGTCAAGAGAACTTCTAGTTGCGGAATGATGAAGTCCTCGTAAATTGACTTTTCCGAGCACCGTCTTATAATCTCAAACCCATCTCTATACTGAGCATTGGACAGAGGCTGCGTTGGGGACTTCATTGCCTGGGCTTCATGCCTTAGCGCCAGCTTCAGGGTTTGAAGAGTCGCCATGTTTACGCTTGAACAGATAGAGGTAAATGATGAAGTTTGAATGACATAAATTTGCGCGGTATTGCAAACGTGTGTAGAAACTGTTAAACTAGTTTGGGATTGTGAATTGATGAATCGGAACGGAATGGTTTGAGAGGTCTTATATTTCTTCTTCTTTCGTTTTCGTCTCCCTCCCAACACTGAGCCCTATCATGGTCAGCGTCGCTTAGCCCATGCAGATTATTAAAGCTCAACAATGCGTTGGGTTTCTCCAGCCCAATATGCAGCTATGATATCCCCAGAAGATTTCTAAGCATTGCCCAATTAATCAAAACCACGTATAAGACTACGTAGGTGGTGCGGAATCTATCGACAGTCGGTGAGTGTCTGCCTACTGGATTAGGTCGATGAGGCTGGCCTCCTGCATAGCCTGATGCGGATCTTTTAATGCTTATTATCTCACCGAGATCGGAAATGAACCATACATGTTCCATCAAGAAAATGTATCCGGATAAGCACATAGGTGTAACACAACGATGCAACTCTTTTCGAATCGGATGACAACATGTGGATTCAACAACTAAATCATCTTATCCGAGAACTTTTGGGTCACATCTAGACTATAACAAAATCGTGGAACCGAATATTAGGCAACAGCTTTGTACACAAAAAGCCTCGTAGGCATAAATGACATTCTATCGAATGATCTCATTGGTGTTTGATTTAGCTTATGGATGGCCTCCCGCAGAAGGACATTCCCGAGGCATGCGCTTCGCCGAGCTTGGAAGAAGGCTGCGTAGGTAGACTCACGCCTCTGGTGGTTTCAGTCGCTGATATCATCTTCATTTCACTTGTCTTCCTCTGCATTTCCAGGGTAAAAATAGACCCCTTTTTAATGGCGCTATATTGATAAGTAGACCAAGGTCGCCGTTTGATTTTGTGAAGTTGAACCTCCTATTCTCAATATTGTGTATTCCTATATACAGTTGTGTGAATCGATCTATTGCATGCTAAATGGCCATTCTAAGATGGTGCAAAACCTCTCCTAGGAAGAGATCCTACAATGACTCTAGCACTTCTTCCGTAGCTAACAACAAATCACTCCCTATGAAGCGCAAATGCCACAGAAGATTTGGAAGTCGAGTCATCAGAAATGTTTGGGTTAAAGCCCATTCTAAGCGGGCTGCTCGACAACGCGCGCGCGCCAGTTCACGCAGCCCTATTCAAAGTATTGGCAGCACAGGTTGTATGAATAAACTATGATCTTTGTGAACCAGTTGGTATGCTTTAAATGACTGACTGGTTCTCATCTAGCCGAATCTACCAAAATATCTCAAAGAAAAGAAGCCCCCGTACGTCTTGCTAAAATGGAAAGCGCTGTCCGGACTTTGTTAGAGTGCATAGGTGAGGATACCAAGCGCGAGGGCTTGAGGGATACACCTTCGCGGTATGCCAAAGCTCTACTGTTTTTGACCAAGGGCTATCGGTCAAATGTGAATGAGATTGTCAATGGCGCACTCTTCCATGGAGGCCATGACCAGATGATTATCGTCAAAAACATTGAAATCTCCAGTCTTTGCGAACACCACCTCGTTCCCTTTATTGGAAAGGTAATTTCTCCCTGTCCGCTCATTATGTCGCTCGATATTAGCACAGAGAGCCACGACTAATATTGTATTCCCAGATGCATGTTGGATATATCCCCTCCAAAATGGTCATCGGTTTATCCAAAATCGCACGAATCGCTGAAATATTTTCTCGTCGCTTGCAGATTCAAGAGCGCCTTACCGAAGAAGTTGCTCAAGCCGTTATGGAGATTTTAAAACCTCAGGGTGTCGCGGTGGTTATGGAATCCAGCCACATGTGTATGGTCATCCGAGGCGTTGAGAAGACAAGCAGCACAACCTTGACTCGCTGCATGAGGGGCTGCTTTCAGCGTGAGGCTAAGTTAAGCGAAGAGTTTTTGCACCTTGTGAACGTGCGCCAATGAAAAACTAGCTGGTACTCTGAATTTCTCTCCTGGAGAAGTCTGGGTTCTGGGTTGTGTGTTCAAACGAATTGAGTTCCATGAGGATCTTGGATCGAGTGAGCACGTGGAATGAAACACAGCTATCTCTAAAAGGGTTTTCAATCTCGGGTCGTACCTTTTAAAGAATAGAGAAACATAAGTTATCGCTCTTAGCTGTGTGCACCAGGTCTTGACGTCCGCCCCTGGGTACTCCTTTGAAGAATAAAGAAGAAGGTTCGCCGAAAAGCTTTTCATTTAGCTTTGACATATCATGATTTAGAGAAATACGTGATTTAGAGAAATAAGTGATTTAGAGAAATACGTGATTTAGATTCGTATTTGTCCCTGGAAAGGGAAGGGACCATTGATCCCGGTTGTATAAGGAGAGCGAATCAGGGGTTGGCTCGTCAATGCGACCACGATCCTCCCCCACTTCTTGCCTCGGCTCCTGCCTGTCGATCGTACGTTTGATGAAAAAGCATGGGTTATTTTGTTCAAAAAGACACGCAACTTGGCTCTCGATCTTTCACCGTAAACAAACCGGGTCAATTCCTTGATTTAGAAGAGAATCATTGAAATCAGCATCTCAGAGCTGTCACCGTCATCATGCCCATCACAGAGCAAATTGGTGTTGAGCGCTTGCAGGACGGTAGATTCGTGTCCAAGTTCACACCTGTTCGGTTTGGAAATATACGGGCAACATATGGAGGCAATACAATTGGGGTTGCTTTCAACGCCGCAAGCCAGACTGTCCCTCCTGGCTTCTCAGCGTATTCCATCCTCGGCCACTTCCTTGGTCCAGCACTCAAAGAGCACAAGCTATACTGCATAGTCCATGATACAAGGACGACAAGGACATTCGCCACTCGCCGTGTAGAGGTGAGCCAGGAGCAGGCCGACGGTACATTTCGAACTTGCTTGGAACTCATCGCCGATTTTCACGTTTCTGAGCCATCCATGCTAGAGTTCTCTGCCAGGCCTTCTATGGCATGGCCCAAGTCACGGGATTGCCCAGACCGTCATGAGTATGCACAAGGAATGCTGGATAGAGGAGAGGTCAATGAAGCGCAGTTGGAAGAGTTCAGGAAGTCCTTCGATGAAGACAGAGACTACTTTGAGACGCGACTTTGTACCGGAGGCATGGCAGCTCAAAACCTCACCGGCATCGCTGGAGGGCTACCAACCACCCAGGACACCATTCCTGTTACCTCCAGGGTCTCGGCTGAGTGGCTACGAGCACGTGGAACATTCGCCACGCAGGCCGAGAATATAGCAGCCTTGGCGTTCATTATGGACGGGACTCTGGCTTTCCTAGCACTGACACATAGTCATCTTTGGGTAGATGCTGCGGGTCCATGCGGATCTCTTGACTTTGCGCTGAGAATCTTCGCGCCGCAGGTGAATATGGGCGACTGGAACCTGAGAGAGCGAGTTGTTCATCACAGTGGGAGTGGACGAACATATGCAGAGGGAAGATTGTTTGACGAGCAGGGCAATCTGCTAGCATCCATGACGCAGCAGTGTTTTATGAGAGTACCTCGAAGTGAAAAGCCGGGTTCAAAGATCTAGGAGACTCCTTTTACTAAAATACCAGCTGTGAGAACTGAGTTTCAAGTTAGCCCTTAAGAAAATGTTCCATTATTGATCGTTTATTGATAAGTTCTCATGCCGAGGATCAACTTTAAGCGTCCAAGAACAGACATATTGCTCGGTCTGACCCAATGGGTCCTATCCGAATAATTGACTTGCTCAGTGATATTTAGGCCATGTCCGCCATTTATATCGGTTGAATACCACTCTCACATTCTTTCTGTGACCTATCTCCGTTAAGCGCTGCCTGTAGTTGTCCTCACGGGAGGGATCAGTGAGAAATATGAGCTCCAATGCCTCCATATTCGGGAATTCACCCCCCGGACCACACTTGAGTATGAACGCCTCAACACTATCCACCATCTTGTTTCTTCCTACCTCGCTATCGAATTTCCAATACGCGCCTCCCACTAAGCACAAGCATCTCAGTGATTTCGGGAGTAGCTGCGAGTTAAGTGAGATGAAAGTCTGCCCATCGATCTCGCCGTCTTCGCACAGCATGTACAGTGGAAGTTCGAGATACTCGAGGCGGTGGAGTTTCTGGAAGCATTGCTCGATCTTTAGCGGACCCCGAGCCGTGATTTCCAAGACCGGTGAATTGCCCCAGTCAAGCGCAAGATTCTGAAGAGAATCCGCCCGGGCAACAAGAAGCTCGGCCAGTCGACTGGAATCAACTTCTCGAGTATCCAAAACGTTCCCGAAATCCAGGGCAAAGGTCCTCAGCCTGCGAGGCGCCCGAATGAAAGTTTCCACCGCCTCCAAACACATGTCAGAATAATCGAGAATAATTTCCTCGACAGGCGAAGTCCCAACGGGAAACACGGTGAGATATGTACTTTGGGGATTGTTGTCATCTCCATTGCCACCTTCATCATTTTCTTCGATATGTGGACGAGGCATCTCAATCCTGTACCCGAAAAAGGATCGCATGCTTCGTAGATAGAAGAATGGCGCCGCAAACTGGCCCTGCACACCAAATTCCGTGTTCCAATGTTTGTATTGGACGGACTGCAATCTGACGAGGGGGAGGTAATCCGGATAAACGTCCTCGGGGACGTCGCGGAACCTTCGGGCAAGTTGGCTCATGAAACTCAAGGTCAACTGTTCTTCGCCATCTTGCCTCATGTCTGCGATAAGAGGCACGATCAAGTTGAACTCCACCAAATCGCTCGCCCATAGGAGGAACAACACGACGAAAGCATCGTCTACACCCTCCAGAATTTGCTCCCTCCATTCCGAGAGTCTTTCAAGCGCGGGCCAGTTCTGGAGGCCCGCATCCGCAATCTGTTCCAGCTCATCCCGACTGACGGCCATTCTCACATCATCATCTCTATCTTGGCGTGTAGAAGGGTCGTCCACGTTCAGGACTCTGATGTATCGCCGGAGAGTCGGGTTGCGCAATAGATGCAATGCGAAGCGATCATATGCTGGGCGGTGCCCGTGGAAAACCCCCCCTCTTGGAGGCCAGCGCCGGACCAGAAAGGGCCTGGCGATGAAATTCAGGCGCATGTTTACAAGAACCAGATTGAATAACGATCCGTGATCCGCGTCGCTCAGGCGTGTGGCGATCCGAGAGAGCACCTCGTTTGGGAGATCCAGCAATCCTGTCATATCGGCGACAAGGGGCGTTGTTTTAGAGAAGCAGTTTGCAGTCAAGTGACACGGAGTAAAGAAGAAGTAAGCAGAAGCTTTGCATGTGAGGAGAGAAAAAGAAGTGAGCAGAAGCTTTGCATGTGAGGAGAAACCTCACGGGTTACATCACGCCCAAATTAGGCAGTCGAGCGCATCATGTGACACCGTGGGATTCTGAAACACGATTTGTGAACATCGAGGTACCATCGTTAACTCAGCGCGCATCTTAAGTTCAACACTGGAAGATCCAGCCTCGGAAGTGGGAAATTACATGCGACTATAAATTCCTGATGTTTCCTGTCTAGTTTCTGCTACCAAGCAACCGAGCCTCCTCTATTGAAAAAGCTCTTAAGATACTTCACCCTAATTCACACTCGTTCGCACTCGTTCACATAACAAGGACGGATCGTGGGCCCCTGGAAAATATAAGGGAGGTCAAACTGGCTATAAAGATTCTTAAAAAGTATTCTAAACATAATAATAATAGATCTTAGGCTCTAGGAAAGGATAAGAGTAGAGATATCTATTTAAATTATAGAAAGTAAAAGCTAGAGTAGTAGAATAATTAATAGAGAGTAGATATCTTAATATTTACTAAGTATTCACAGTTAGGTAGTTCTATAAGAGTAATTATTATAGTTGATATCACTAAATAGTCACTGCCTAAGTACCTTAGTAGTAGTAAGTGAGGGAGCTGTACAGCTGCTGAAAAAAAAAGGGGAAATTCCCAGACACCAGTAATTTGATAACTTGATACCATACCCAGGTATCACAATATAATAAACTTCAGCCTTGCGGCTACGAGCCTTGTGCCCGGCCGTATCCAAGGTTTAACACCAAAATAGCTGTACTCGTATCGTATATAAGGTTCATTAATACCAAAGGCTGTGCCCGGCAGTGACTCTTTCGCCGGCATGACTGCTTTTGCGAACCTTAAGATGCTGATTTTTATCTATTAAAGGCTGCTGTTGCTGGCCTGGTCCTGAATGAACTGTACAGCTCAAGTCCATATCGACAATCTTCGCAAATCGCTGCTCACAGACAAGCCAAGCGCCATCGCCACCTTCGTTGAGACAAGCCAAGCGCCATCGTCACCTTCGTTACCACATAACACCACCTTCGCCGCTCCATTGACGATTAGCTACATCAAGCTTTGCCTTCGGAGCAGTAAAAGACTCACTCAGTCGAATCATTCGACTCTCGCTGCTTTTATCGCTGCACACTCCAGTCTTCGCTAAGACTTCAAACATCCAACCGAGCCTGCGTCTCGCCCGATCTGACCAACCACACATACTCTGAACCTCGACAACAGTCCTACACACATCTCAGTCCAAGGAGAGAACCTACACCATGACGAAGAAGAAGACAAAAGAGACGAAAAAGGTACTCGCTATAGTACCTGCTATTCAGTCCGGCCAGCTGAATGATAAAGAGATTAAAAGCCCAAGTACCTTAGTATAGCCTCTGAAGTTCTAAACGTAAATCTAACTGCTAAGTCCGATATAGGCTAAGGATCGTTTGGAAATAGAGCAAGGATACAGAGAGCGGGGAATCTATCGCACTCGCATTCTTCGTTGTTTTTCCTTCCAGGGAAATTGTTATCTAATGAAAGAAACAGTTTGGCTATAAACCCTGCCACAGGTCGAACTTTGAATTTATTTAATTTAACGCTACGCGACCTCCAACCACACGGACGGAGCCCTACTCGTTTTAGGGCTCTCGATACTAGTGCATGGCCGTGATGTTTTTGGATATCGTATGGTTTATTTCTTCTTCCTGGCTCGTGTCGAGCTTTGCCTCGGCCTAACGGAGCGACGTTTCTTTTAGGCAGAGTGTAACCCTGAATATGGAATCTCTCAGGGGTTGGCAAGAACTTAGCAAAAGGTGCACCTTGCATTCTTCAAATTATGTGCGGTCCGCACACTCTTCATTTGGAAAAAGGTCGGTTATTTGGCAGTCCTTTAGACGGTCTTGCTTATCACATCTTAACTAGAGACGTAATACCGCCCAATTGTGTAGTTTGTAGCCGCAGTTCAGACACATCACGTGAACTGAGTGGCATTATTGATTATTTTCTTCACTTCTTAAAGCGGGGTACTCTCCGGTAATCTGCAGAATCTTGTTCGCCTTTCTATATATATTCCTTTCAGCAACCTTTGTTTTCATACCAACACTAAGCTGTAATGTCAGCTGATTATTGTCGGAGTTTTCGGTTGCGAGGGATCCCATGTGGCTATCAATCTAGGATAGATGTTCGTGAACTGGTCAAGAAGGTTCTTTGTATCGAGCCCGATGCAAGTGTTGTCGTTCATTCACTCGCAATCAATCCTGTCCATGAGAACAGCCAGGTCGCAACTCTGAGTTTTCACACTACCCCGAACTCTTTGTCCGACTGTTCCAGAAACGAGTGGGATTTTGAGCTGCTGGCTAGCGACACCTCAGGCGACGATGCTTTGGATGTGATATCGCTCGTTTTTGATACCCACTTCTGGGGTTTCACGCCTCTGCACCGTACTAAGGATAGCGATTGCCATATTGAGTGAGTAGGCAAATATAGTAGGCCGAAACTTGTTTTATGTTGACCTATTCGTCCAGTATAATAGCGATATCCGGTCTGAATGGACATGCGTTCGGTTCATTTAAGCGAAAGCAGGGGTCATTCATGTGGCTCCGAGATGCTCTTCCGCTAGATGTCCGAAACGCCAGGATCCTAATATATGGATATGATACTCAGTTGATTCAAAGCCATTCGTTCCAGAACTTGACAGACTTGGGCCGAACCCTTCAAGGGTACTTGAAAACCATTCGGGTCTGTCTATTTTCTTATTGATACCGTTTCACCTGGCTGATTTATATAGAAATCTAACGACTTTCGTCCTATAATATTTATTGGACATAGCCTCGGAGGTCTGGTTGTCAAAGAGGTTGGGATTACCTTCGGTCTAAGCCTAGATATCTGTGTTTTCAACCATACTAATATACCCTTACAGGCTGTTGTTCAGTTGAAGAAAGAGCAGAATGAAGAGGATGGATCCATCCTAAAGTCTATTGCAGCCTTTCTGTTCTTTGGTGTTCCTCATCAAGGAATGGCTATTGAATCGCTAGTTCCTTTGGTCCACAACTCTCCCAATATGGGTCTTCTTCAGTCACTTGACAGAAACTCGCCGCTGCTTCCACGCCTCACCACCGACTTCAGCAAATCCTTCGTTGGAAAAACCCCGAGAACAATTTCTTTCTATGAAACGGAAAAATCTCGCACTGCAGTAGAGGTATGGTTAAAAAAAGATCACCCGCCGTGTTGGGGTAGTGAAATGTCACTTACAGCATCTTCAGGGCACTAGTGGCAAATGGGAACTGTCTGGGCCATTTGAAGTCTTGGTCGATATATCATCCGCAACATATGGCAGTGATAGTCAACACCCCGTCAACCGCAACCATTCTGAACTAGTGAAGTACAATAGCCAGTACGATGGAATCTATGAACGAGTCCGGAATGTTCTACAGTCACTGAACAACATATTACCACGTGAACCCGTCTACACAAGCATGGAAGTTGAAAGCCATTGTAGGTAGTTAAGCTTTATAGTGTTTATTAGTTGGAGAACATACTAAAGATTCTTTAGCGTCCAGCAATCTCTCAAACGAAACTTTTGGTTAGTCGACCTGAATAGTCCGCAGTAGACTACTAACAGCCATAGAATGTCTAAAGTCACTTTCCTTTCGAGAGCAAGAGCATAGGTATAACGATATCTTATCCGCGGAAAATACCTGCGGGTGGCTTTTGGAAGACTCGCAATACCAGGCTTGGATGAACCAACCTGGAAGCCTTTTTTGGATCAAAGGCAACCCCGGGGCTGGCAAGTCTGTTCTCATGAAATTTGCCGTCACAATGATGAAACAGAGGGAGCCTAACGAACGCGTTCTGTCTTTTTTTGTCCATGGTCGAGGAGCAGAGTTACAGAAGACGCCACTTGGCATGTTCCGAGCATTACTGCACTCTATGCTTGAGCTTTTCCCCGACTATCTTTCTAGTCTTACATCCCAATTCAATGATCAGGAAAAAAGACGCGGATCTTACCAAGAGAATAGGTGGCAATGGCAAGAGTCTGAACTGAAAAAAATAATGTCTGAAATTTTAACCAAAGGGACGAAGAAGCAGCCTATCGTCCTATTTGTCGATGCCCTCGACGAGTGTGGGAAGCATCACGCCAAAAGCTTATTATCTTATTTCAGAGATCTCATGGAAGACGTCAAACGTGAAGGAGCGCAGGTAAAGATATGTTTTTCTTCACGACACTATCCAATTCTTGGCCTTGACAAAATCCCGTCCATTTCTGTTGAAGAGAGAAACGACAAAGATATACGATCCTTTGTGAGAAGTCGACTAAGCGATATCCAACCAGCTGTTAAGCGTCAGAAATTGGAGACAGAAATCTTACAAAAAGCTCACGGGGGTTTCCAATGGACAGTCTTGATAGTTGACAAGGTCATGGAGGGATATATAAATGGTGTCAATGCGCATGATTTATACCATCAGCTCGAGACTACACCAGAAGCACTGGGAGAGTTTTATGGGAAAACTCTGAGCTCCGTGGCTGGTGTCGAAAGAAAACAGATGGTCAAGCTTTTTTCTTGGATTCTTTTTGCTAAGCAGCCTTTGTCTTTGCAAGAGCTTCGAGAGGCGCTTACTACCGACAAGGACATGGCCCATACGTCTATCTCTGAACTGAGACACTATGCAAGCACCACGCTAGACGAATTTGAAAGGCATGTTAGGTATATCTCCCGAGGCCTGGTAGAATTTCAGACCCGTGAAATCTGGGAGCAGTATGAAGTCGGGGGCGAAGAGTCTGACAAGGAGGCCCAGTTTATCCACCAGTCAGTTGCTGATTACGTCCTCGAGGAGTTTCTTAGCCATACTGGCTCTGGTTCAAGCGTTGAATCTACAGTTGGAGCTGGTCACTTTCAAATTTCGAGATCCTGCCTCAGATATATGACGTTGAGGGAGATCCTCGAAGGAACGCAACTGACTCGTGGTTCGCTCTCGGTGAAATTCCCTTTGTTGCCTTACGTGGTGCGAAATCTGTTTTACCATATTCAGAAGGTGGAACAGGAGGGAATACTCCAGTTGGATCTTTTACCAATAATTCACAACGACTGGCAGCCTAACACCTTGAGGAGGATTGCGAGCGTGTGGAGAATTATGGACCCCTACAGAGCCTACACGCCCATGGGGTGGCCATTTGTTGAAGGAAGGCCGCTTCATTCTTTAGTCACCTTTGGCTCGAAGAGCGCATTCGATGCCTTTTTAGAGATGGGAGATGTGCAGGTCGATGATAGAGACTCGCATGGAAACACCTCACTGCTACTTGCTATTAGAGAACGTCACCAGGAAATAGCACTAGCGCTACTTGAACGGTCTACCAAATGGCAAAATCGACACGAAGTAGCTGTGCAAATTCCTGGCGGTCCGGAAGAAACGATGTCAAGATCAAATTATGTTGTGGACGTGGACGCCGAGAACAACGATGGTGAGACATCATTGGATGTAGCATTCCAAGAAAGGCTCGATGAAGTCATCATCAAGTTGATTGAGGCGGGTGCGGATTTGGGATCATCTGAGCAAGAGACGGGGCTCCTTTTCCACGCCATAGATCGGAGACATGAGTTGCTATTTGCTAAGCTCCTGCGGGAAAATGTAAAGCTTGATGGAGCCGTCTACTTTACTGTCGAGAATTTAATATATACGGGGGGTGATAAACTCCTTGAAGATTTTATTGTCAGGCTTCTCGATGCAGGAGCCAATACTTCGAAAAATGTGGAAGCCTATGATGAATCCGACGAAGATGATGAAGAGATTAAAGAGAATTACGAAGCGATCCTACTCGCGTCGCGAACAGGCCAAACATCTCTAGTTAGCCTTCTTTTATCACATGGTGTCTCGACAACTGTAATTGATGGAACTTTCTTCTTGGCCGTGAAGAATGGTCATGAGGAAATAGCAAAGATGCTTATTGACAACGAAGCGGATATCAATACCAGAATACACGGATTGACGCCACTCTCATACGCCATACGGAATGGCCACGAGGTCATAGTAAAGATGCTTATTGATAACGAAGCGGATATCAACATCAGAATAGACGGATTGACGCCACTCTCATACGCCATACGGAATGGCCACGAGGCCATAGTAAAGATGCTTATTGATAACGAAGCGGATATCAATACCAGAATAGACGGATTGACGCCACTCTCATACGCCATACTGAATGGCCACGAGGCCATAGTAAAGATGCTTATTGATAACGAAGCGGATATCAACATCAGAATAGACGGATTGACGCCACTCTTATACGCCATACAGAATAGCCATGAAGCCATAGTAAAGATGCTTATCGACTATAAAGCAGATGTCAATATCCGCCATTATCAAACAGGATCAACACCACTATTATCAGCCTTGCAGGGTGGTCATAAAACAATAGCAGATATGCTTCTTCATAATGGAGCAGATGTTAATTCTAGCAATATTCAAGGATTAACGCCTCTCTTATACGCTATCCAATCCGGTCAAGTGGCAATGGTGAATGCACTTATCGAAAGAGGAGCAGACCTTAATGCTTATAATAATAAAAGACCGACGCCGCTCTTCTGCGCCACCCAAAACAGCGAAGAGGCACTAGCAAAGATACTTATTGAAAGCGGAGCAGATCCTAATGCTTGCGATAATCAAGGATTAACACCGCTCTTATGGGCCTCCCAAAACGGCAAATGGGAAATAGCAAACGCCCTTGTTGAAATGGGAGCTTTTGTATAGCGGTATAAAGCTACCTGATGAATATAAATAGATAATCTATCCCTCTAGTACGCGTAATAAACTAGTATATATAATACTTTCTTATTAGACTTTAAAGTAGGTTTATTCTAATAGCTATTTTAAGTATGTTTTTATCTTAAAGTACCTAGCTTATTCTTTCTTATAGTATAAGAGAGAACTTTATATAGTTTATATATATTTCCTTTAGAATTATTACAGTTTCTTAGAGTAAGATAAAATATACTATAAATTAAAATAACTATCACTACTAAGGCGATAAAATAAAGAGAGAGATTATTAAGTTATATTTATTATAGTAAGAAATATTAAGCTAAGTTAGTTAGTAAAGTACCAGCTAACGTATATTAAAAAAATTGTTCTTAATATTAGAAAGTTTTTCTAAACTACTCGAGTAATTTGCCTCCAACTGCGTGATTCCATCCTTGACATTAGGATATATATCAAAGCCAAAAGGAGGGAGCAATTGGAATGCCTGCTTCTTCACTCTATACTATATACTGTTTTGCATCAGGCATGGTAGCGAAGATCAGCTAAACATAAATCCTTGTATCTCATAGCCGAGGGTAAAAAGCGGCGAGGAATAACAAAAACTCTCTGATCTTAAAATCTCAGGAGGCTTGAATAGCTAACTCAATAGTGGGGTGATGACCATCATAGTATACAAAGGGCTTTAGGGACTCAATTGATTAAAATTGATTAATAGATAGTGGAAGAAGTCATATAATCTCTCCTAGCTAAACGTCATCCATGGACTTGTATCGTTGCATACCCAATACTTGTTTTTCCCTGCTGTCTCATATCCAGTCTGCCCTTGGATCGGGTCTAGCAGGATTATGACACAGTCTAAGTCATCAATGCGTCCACCATTCTCACTGCAAAGTTTAGTCATGCAAATGATAATCAAGGCCAGTCATCGGCTAACAGACGTGCTACTATCGACAAGTAATCACCAACAAAAGAACCAGTACGGGGTACCTACCGGGGCATCGGACAGCCCACCACACCCGACGGCCACGGCAACTCCCCTGGCGCAAGACCTCTCGGCTCAGGGGCAAGCCCTGAAGATTTGTTGCTGTCAAAATTCCCAAGTCTCGCCTGACAGCGCGCCTACGCGGAGTCTTTCACGCGCTTAAAAGCATGGATCATGTTGGGCTGAAGCCGCGTACGAGGCGTGGGAACAAAGTTGACCGGGGTGAACGATTGCCCTGGATGAGGGGTGGGAGAGAAGGGTTTATTTCCCGTCCAGCCGGCCGGGCTTGCTACGCTTTTAGGCATCTCGTGTGTTTTGTCTCACGTCCACATCCGGTATGGCTGTAGGGGGTAGACGCAGAAATCAGGTGGGTGAAGACGTCCATCACTGCCGAATCGAAAGTACTAAATATCATGCGCAGTTAAATATGAACTGATAGTCAACCGGTGGTAGGGGGAGTGAAAAAGCCTTGGAGGACTAGGATGTGTCAAGAATGGGGACAGCATGAAAGCCAAGGACCGCCGAGAGATTTTGTGGCCGGAAGAATCTATCACTGACAGCCTATTGATCCATTCGAGTATGCAGAGCAAGATAAATCCTGTGGCTTGCAGTTGCTGCCATGGGTTTCTCCACTGAAACGCGGGTCGTGCAGTCAGGGCGGGCCTGGTGTTTGCCGCTTTGTAGTTATTGAGGACGCTATGATTACTTTCAACTCGAGGTGCTATCAGATGTAAGGTGCCATAGAGAAGCCACTGACTGAAAAAAAAAATGGTGATCAAGGCGAATAGAAAGAGCAGCCCGAAAGTTTGAGGGTTGTTAAGCCCCCTCCTCGCTGACGCGATTAATAAAAGGGGCGGCCGACACCTGCATGTGAATTTCATTCGGCTTGTGGATGAGCAACGTCTATGTTGATGATCGAAAACAAGGAAATCATTCGCTTTTCAATTTCTCCATCTCGAGAATAATAATATTTTGAGAAACTTTTGCTTCTTATCAAAGTAGCCATGAGATGAACTAATTCTAGTGATTCTAGCTAATCGAAGATCATATTTAGCTTAATGTCGGCACTGAATTATTTTGTAATTAGTATTGCAGGCCTCGGCAATTTCCATCGGGGTTTTGATTTTTGAAATCCATCGGCATTCCCAACCCACTAGCCCGAGTACGTATTCAACTTCGTGTTTGGTTCCAAAGCCTTCTAGAGTTCGACCTTTTATGAGTTTATTGTCACCATTCAAAATTATATCTTAATATCTCGTTATGATGTTACCATTGGTACCTTGCTGTCTTACCCGCAAATATGGGAAACATGGGCGTGGAAGAGGAACGCTCTCTAGTATATCCGGAGTACACGTGGCGAAGGGTCATGTCCCCGAGGGCTCTTGACCCATGGCAAGAGCTTCCCACTACACACCCATATCCGAGGTTCTCTCCCGCACAGCAGGCCACTTTGAGCCTAGTCAATCTACCATCAAGGTTCCTTTTTCCACTTTTATCAGGGATAATACATCGTCAGGACCAGGGCGGTTATTTTAGGGACCTTCAGTACGTATCTTTGGCCTCCAGCTCCGACAAGAATGCCTTGGGGGATGGATGTCATCACGAAATGACAAGACCACGATTCGGACTTGCATGTGTTCCACTACTGGCAACAAGCTTTTCAAAGTTACTGATGAAAATGAACCACTAAAAAATCCTTGAGAGCAATAATGCTCGGTCCAGAGACCACTTGTCTATTGTAAATCCAATATTCGCTTGCTTTCCGTGTTCCATGCATTCTAATAAACTCATAAAGAAGGATAGTATAAACAAGCATAGTAAAACTGGATACCCGTCATCACTTAAAGTCCGCTTGAGATGCAGAGGCAATTGCTCATCTTCGCCACCACAACATCCAAGTCGAGCGGATCAGTATGGAAATGCTCGACCGGCATACCCCTTGCCCATTTCTTGGCATTCTCTAACTCGGGTGCCTCGATTTGCAGAATCATTGAGGCTCTGATGAGCTCTCCACGAACGAAATCAAGCTGTCCAGGCCTGAGGGATCTCGCAATAAACGATCCAAATGGCTCTGAAATCATTCTTATTAGGTTACATAATGGTACAGAGATGTGCCATGGCCCAAGTGCAATGACATGGCGGCGGTAGGCTTCTGCAATGGCAAGATTTTCTTCAGATGTCGCCTCAAACAGATTGTCAGAGCAGAATTCGAGGTCATAGTAGCTGGGAACGACGATGCAGGGATCATTCAAATCATCCAAACACCCGCTGAAGAATCGGTTGCCCAAATGAAAAGGTATGCTGCGACATAAAGAGTCTACCGTATCTTGTATGCTCGAGCGGGCGTAGGCCTCCATCTTAGCTCGTTTGTTAACGTCGAAGTAGGAGAAAGCCGTCGGAGGTACTCGGTCGAGGATTCCGATGGTCATTTTGAAAAGGAGAATGCGGTAATTTCGCCAATCATTCCAAGTGGCAGCTATTTGAAGAGAAGGGTAAATGTCGCAGTCACCTCCATACGATGTCATGGGCGGCTCGGCGAGCTTGACTTGCTGTGAATAAGAGGGATGCCAGTGGTCTGGAACGTTGCTTTGCCAGTCAAGAAGCTGGGCCTCGGCATCTTCCATATCCAGCAGAAGATTGTCAAGATCTTGCTCCGCGATTGGAGAAGCATCGTTTTGTTCCATCAGAGCAAGGAATCTCGACTGTAAGTCGGCAATCGTAATACCGATGATATCAAGTCCCGTGTTAGAGTTGAGGGGCATGAGGTCGAGCTGTATCCAGGAGAAATCGGACAAGGGGAAAGGCCGCTTCTCCTGGATTGCGGAGGCTACCTCCACATGGAGTACATGGCTTGTCATGCGGTTCCAGGATGGTGAAGATAGCACCTCGGTAGGCTGACGCTTCAAAAGAGCCACTGCACCATCATAATGTAGGCGAGGGGCGTCGCGGAGCCCTCCCAGGGCCGACAAATTATCATAGAGCTGGAGGACGAAGGCAGCCAATATAGTGGATTGTCTTTGGCTCTCTCGAGGGTCGCGTATAGCAGTTCGAAGCCATTCAATGGCCCTTACGTGCCATTCATGGGGCTTTCGATTTGATAGACCGTTCTTCCAGAAGGTTAGCACCCAGGAAGAAACAGAGACAATAGCAGCATATAATGGCGAATCTCGCCGTTCCAATGCCAAAACCGACGGTAGCATATCGCAGAAGCCTCCGATATAGAGATTTCTTGGGTTGGAAACACAGAAATGGCGAAGAAAGAATGACACTACCATGTCATCATCAGATGGGACAGGTGATGGAGACGATGACATGGGCGTTCTGCACCCGCTTCTTGAGTGCGATACGGAGAGATTTGGTTGCCGATTTTGCTGTCGAGGCTGTCGTTGCTTTGTAGGAGTTGAACTCGAGGTTGAACTGGAACTGGGAGACGCTCGACGCTGTAATGAAACAGGGCCATAGTTGATCTTTTGCTCCTTGAATTTGAGGGGCGCCACCTTCTTCTGGTAGCCACCGCACTCTCGACCGAGACGCAGGCAACGCTGGCAAGCCGGCTTGCCCTCGTCGCACTTGACCCGCCGCTCCTTGCAAGTACGGCAGCCTTTGGAGGGTCCCAAATTGACCATTGTCTTTTTCGTTGGTACTCGAAAGGACGAGGAGAAATGGAATGACTAGTCGCCCAGAAAGATTGGGCTTGGCTTTTTCCTGAGCCTTAGGCAAAGCTGGATGGATAGAAGTAAATCGTAGTAATGACTGACAGAAATAGAACGATTCCAGAAAGATCAGATACGCAGAGAAAAGAGTTTGATATAGGCACTTGAAGAAGTCGAGAGAGGAAATAGTGGCTGGCAGGGCTGGTCTTTATTTATGAGATCAGATCAGAGAGAAAGCAAGGGTATGGCCCCATTCCAGGGCCCAGCCCGGGAAGGGTGCCTCATAGGGCTAGCTTGTCTAAATCGGGGAGATCGGCAAGCAGGCTCAATAGGGGAGGGGAATCACTGTGAGGAGG